TGTGTATGTGTGTGTGTGTGTGTGTGTGTGTGTGCGTGTGTGTATGTGTGTGTATAAGACTTATTGTCTCTTGATCCTTAGGCAAAGACAAAAGCTATGATTATTTTTAAACTAACTCGTTCCCCTATGTACAAAATAACAAAATTCATTAGAACAATTTCCATGAAAAAGCCTGTGTCCATTACGGCAGTGGAACAGTGATTGACGGCCATTTGCTAGATCATGACGAATAATAATATTGCAAATTTTTCTTTGCATTTCATCATATATATATATATATATATATATATATATATATATATATATATATATATATATATATATATATAATGGAAATAACTAAGTCAGATAATTACATTAATACATTTTTTATTTATACGTTATTTTTTATCAATTATTTAAGTAAATGCTGTGTTAATTACATTTACCGGCCCGAATGTCTGAGATGAATTCTCCGGCAGGAATTGAATATGTATCCTACACGGAACCGTCATTTCATATGACGTGCTATACCAATCAGCTACAGAGGAACAGATATGATAGCAATATCCTACCAAGATTTTGTGAATCAGTAGAGATTCTCTATTAGAACAAAAGGTATACATCGGATCTGGAACCGGGAAGGTGGTTTTATAAGTACGTATAATGTAAATAGTGTACATAATACCTCATCACAGAAATATAGACAGACACTGAAGGGCCGAAACGTTGTAATAAGTATGGCTACAAACATGAGGACAATAGTGCGATTAACTTAAATAGTGTACATAATACCTCATCTCAGAAATATAGACAGATACCCGAAGGCCGAAATGTTGCAGTAAATATGGCGACAAAGATGAGGACAATAGTCCGAATAATGTAAATAATACCTCATCTCAGAAATGTAGATAGATACTGATGGGCCGAAATGTTGTAATAAATATGGCGACAATGATGAGGACAATAGTCTGAATAATGTAAATAGTGTACATAATACCTCATCTCAGAAATATAGACACATACGGAAAGGCCGAAACATTGTAACAAATGTGGCGACAAGGATGAGGGCAATAGTCTGAAAAATGTAATTAGTGTGTCATAATACCACATCTCAGAAATATATATAGATACTAAAGAGCCGAAACGTAATAAATATGGTGACAAAGATGAGGACAATAGTCCGAATAATGTAAATAGTGTACATAATACCTCATCTCAGAAATATAGACAGATACTGAAAGGCCGAAATGTTGTAATAAATATGGCGACAAAGATGAGGACAATAGTCTAAATAATGTAAATAGTGTACATAATGCCTCATCTCAGAAATATTGACAGATACTGAAAGGCCGAAACTTCGTAATAAATATGGCGACAAGTATGAGGACAATAGTCTGAATAATGTAAATAGTGTACATAATACCTCATCTCAGAAATATAGACACGTACGGAAGGGCAGAAACGGAGTAATAAATATGGCGACAAGGATGAGGACAATAGTCTGAATAATGTAAATAGTGTACATAATACCTCATCTCAGAAATATAGACAGATACTGAAAGACCGAAACGTTTTAATAAATATGGCGACAAGGATGAGGACAATAGTCCAAATAATGTAAATAGTGTACATAATACCTCATCTCAGAAATATAGACAGATAGTGAAAGGCCGAAACATTGAAACAAATATGGCTACAAAGATGAGGACAATAGTACGAATAATGTAAATAATGTATAAATTACCTCATCTCAGAAATATAGACAGAGACTGAAGGGCTGAAACGTAATAAATATGGCGACAAGAATGAGGACAATAGTCTGAATAATGTAAATAGTGTATATAATACCTCATCGCTGAAATATAGACAGATACTAAAAGGCCGAAACGTTGTAATAACTATGGCGACAAGTATGAGGACAATAGTCCGAATAATGTAAATAATACCTTATCTCAGAAATATAGATAGATACTGAAGGACCGAAATGTAATAAATATGGCGACAAAGATGAGGACAATAGTCCGAATAATGTAAATAGTGTACATAATACCTCATCTCAGAAATATATACAGATACTGAAGGGCCGAAACGTTGTAATAAATATGGCGACAAAGATGAGGACAATAGTCCGAATAATGTAAATAGTGTACGTAATATCTCAGAAATATAGACAGATACTGAAGGGCTGAAACGTATGAGAATGAGGACAATAGTCTGAATAATGTAAATAGTGTATATAATACCTCATCTCAGAAAACACATATACCGAAAGAAAGAAGCGTCGAAATAAATATGGCGACAAGGATGAGGACAATAGTCTGAATAATGTAATTAGTGTACATAATACCTCATCTCAAAAATATAGACAGATACTTAAAGGCCGAAATGTTGTAATAAATATGGCAACAAAGATGAAGACAATAGTCTGAATAATGTAAATAATACCTCATCTCAGAAATATATACAGATACTGAAGGGCCGAAACGTTGTAATAAATATGGCGACAAAGATGAGGACAATAGTCCAAATAATGTACATAATGTACATAATACCTCATCTTAGAAATATATACAGATACTGAAGGGCCGAAACGTTGTAATAAATATGGCGACAAAGATGAGGACAATAGTCCGAATAATGTAAATAATGTACATAATACCTCATCTCAGAAATATAGACAGATATTGAAAGGCCGAAACGTTGTAATAACTATGGCGATAAAGATGAGGGCAATAGTCTGAATAACATAAATGGTGTACATAATACCTCATCATAGAAATATAGACAGGTACAAAATTTATAATTTCTATGGATGAATTAAGATTTGTGATAAGTAAGTTAAATTTTGCATTATTAGGGGTGAATTCACAGAAAAGATCTAGAGAAATAAATCGTCATTTTTCAAGAAGTGACGGAAAGAAAATAATGTTCTTATTTTTGGAGATCGTTGAGAAGTACAATATTTGCAGATATTGTTAGTGAACTACTTTTATCTTTGTAAGTTGGCTTCAGAGATGAGATTTTATTTTGGACGTGAAGCCTTCTTATTGGTTGTTGATATATTTTAATTCTTTTTTTTTTTTTTTTGGTTGATACGCGCGATACTCCTGTGCAAAAAAAAAAAAATCACTCATTTTCCCGCTTCAGATGTATCAACTTGTGCTTTCGTATTCGGCTTACAATGGCAAACAGTCAAACACGGATTATTTGGTATCGAAATCAGTTCGGTTATTTCATTTTATTTTATTTTTTGTTTTAGATTCGCATTGGTTAGAGCTTCCTTAGGCCACGACACTTATCAGAATAGAAAATATTGATTTATTATCGATTTAAAAATGGGGTCCAATAACACAGTGTCAAATTGATCCCTGACTTTTTTTACTCAGTCATCGAACTTTTTAAAACTAAATCACTTAGCTGGTATTTACAAATATCATATTTGAAACTCTGTTAACAATCCTTGACATCTGCATATATATTGGTTTTAATTTTCTGATTTTTAAACTTTTTAAGCACTATTTCGTATGGGAGCTTTTTGGGGGCGGGGTGATGAAGCACACGCATTTGAAATTAATAATTATCTAAGTGAAAAAATAAAGAGAAAAAAAAAACAAATACAGAATATTATATAAATTTTTGTTCTTTAATTAAAAATTATATATCCGTGTATGAAAAAGGAGAATATTGTGCCTCATCATGGATACACGCCCACAAAAAATGTTTTCGTACGCCCCCCCCCAAAAGCTAAGTAAGGTCAGTAAAGATAGAATCGAATTGTTGACAGTTAAAGACAGTGTAAAAAAACAACTGAAACCCTTTTTTAAATCGATAACAAATACATATGACGAGTGTTGCGACCTGAGGAAGGTTTAGCAATTTACTAGGTACAGATGTGGCACAAGGCGAAAAGAATGGAGCACCTAGTGAAGATCGAACTCATTATGAAGTCATAATTGATTGATCTAACGAGGCAAACTTAAGCGTAGCTTAGATATGGCTCAAGGCCGAAAGTACGGAGCACCCAGTAAAGATCGAACTCACTACTCAGTTGTAATTAGAGATCTTTATTCTTTAGCGAGTGATGTTTGCTAAAGTACCCACCTAAGGAAAGTTTAATTTTTGCCGTCGTGGTAGGGGTGGTTATTATTATTACTACTACTACTATCACCACCACTACTACTACTATCACCATCACTATTACTACTATCATCATCACCACTACTACTACTCTCACTACTACTACTACTACTATTACTACCACCACTGCTACTACTACAAACACATTTCTTGTCTTGATTGTTTGATTCCGAGCGTTTCAGCTGTAGTACCCTCTGGCCATCTTCAGCAGGTGTCTGTCTTACTCTTCGTAATTGATAACTTTTCTGTAATTTCAAACAGCCACCTTTTAGTTTATGCAAAGGAAATAAAGAATGAATAAATTGAAATATTCATCATAAAAATCGGGAATTTTTTAAAATGGTTCTTTCAAATTTTTCAAAGCCTTTTTTTTTTTTTTTTCGTCGTTGTCCAGTTCTTTTCTTCAAAGGAATAAAGAAAACGATTTCAATTACTGAATTAAAAATATAAGTTATTTAGGAACGAAAGAGCAGGGATTCTATCCACGGTGAAGCAAAAAAAAAAAAAAAAACATTCGTGAGTTTCATCTTCACTGAGTAACCCATATTTGCAGCCTTATGCCAGACTAGAAACATCTGGACTCACTCGTGAAACAAGTGTCAGCAAACGAATCCCACACGTCAATGAGTTCGATATTCGGTGACCTCAAACCTATTCTTTTAAATTAAAACATGTGTATGTAGGGGGTCTTAGTTTAGCATTATTGAATTGCATAATTAAAAATGCCATCCCCCAAATTAATAAATACATTTGTAAAAATAAAGTAATTCATTTAAATTGAAAGACAAAAAACTGCATTATTAAATTATTGTTTATGTTTCTAAGGGGCCTTCTTGAAGGCGACTCATCCAATTTGTCGACGATCTAAGCGGCCATTGCTGATGTCACAAGGTAAAGATGGCTGTCAGTACGTGAGTTGTTTTATGGTGTAAAAAGTCTTGACGTCTTCTTGGGAAATAAAAAGAAAGAAGAAAAATAGAACTCGATTCACACCAGCTGAAAGTTTTCCTCTTGGTTCGATTTGCTACTAATTGTATCTCTTCGTAGTTGCGTAAGGTGAGACCCATATATTTTTTTTTCATTTCTTTAACAAACCCATAAACAACAAATACGGATGATGATGAAAGAGATAGATAAATAAATTATTGGATATTTATTCTTAAGAAGTAAGTTTTTTTTCTTTTTTCCTCTCATCTTCACGGATTTTTAGATACATACATACATACATACATATATATATATATATATATAATAATAATAATAATAATAAAATCGGAATTGCGACCATTACAGCTTTTTTTTACAAACAACTTATTTTTTGTTGTAAAAATTAGTAGACGTTTTAAAACACAACTTAGATTAAAAATAACATTCATTACTGATGTTTTATAAAAACTAAACGCAAATAAACATGTAAATTTATATTGATTGAATGATATAAATAAAAATTTAGTATTTTTTATTTCTTTTAAAAAAAAAAAATCACGTAAATGAAATGTTTTCACATTGATTTCGTTTTGAATTTCAATGTTTCTTTGACAAAAAAACAAAAATTATTTTCTCCTTTTAATAAATTTTGTGCATTTTTTTAATATTTTTGTCATTGATTTACTTTCGATTTGTTTAAGGAAGCCTAAAAACAATTAGACATTTTGAAAATTATTTTAATTAAAATGCATTTTTTATTTATACCAAAAATATGGTTACATATACTCTCACGAAACCATTTCCTGAAACTAGAAAATACCTATTACCATATTCTCTTTATGTTAAGCGATCATGGCTCTCCACAACTTCCTATCCTTTTAAACTCTAATTAGTTTATCTCGTACTATCCCTCCATCTCTGTTTTGCTATCCTCGTTAGGTAGGTTACTCGATGTTCCCTCTGTCACTTTTGCCCTGTGAGTGTCAAATTTCTCAAGCCCTCTTTCTTCATTAATGAGTCCCAGAAATGTAAACTCTCTCTTTCTGGTTCTAAGTACAAGTGTTCTTTTTATTCTTATTCTCCTAAAAACTTCCTCATTGCTCACATGTTCCATTGATGGCATTCTCAGCATCCTTCTGTAGAATCATATTTGTTTCTTCAAGTCCCCTTTTCATGTGCAAAAGAAATTGTCCAGCATTTACTGCCATAGAGGAGAAGGGCTAATGCTGCATAACAGTAAGTATTGTTGTTGTCTGACATTTCACATAACTAGAATTTTGTTGACAAACTGAAAAATTATTCAGTTAGTTCACTGTGTCATGCTATACAATTTTTCTTTCTAGAAACTATTTTATAAGTCTACTGTTCACTTATGCTTAGAATATTGCTGCCATATATGGTCTGGTACTCCTTATTTAGAGATTCTTGATTAAATCCAAGGGAGAATCAGCAATATTATTGGTCCTGACCTGGTGTCTTAGCTTCAGTCACTTTCCCACCACCGTAAAGTTTCTTCCTTGTACCTTTTCTATAAAAACTTTCCTGGTAATTGTCCAGAAGTGCTCTTTGCTATATGTGTTTGTCTTGTCTGTTTTTTGCACATCAAGAGCACCCCCTCTCGACTGAGAAAAACACTGGTGTTATATAGCTCATCCAGTCCTAAACCCACACTGACTATTGGCAAATACCTGCCCAGTATCGTTCATATGTTCTCTCAACAGCCCATTGTGGAAGGGGGCACATTCCTGATGCTTATAGCACCAAATACAACCAACTCTGAGTCTTTTAGCAGTCTGACTTGATTCTCTGTTACACTCACCCCTGACCTCCTGATCACAGCACCAATATGCAGAGGAAGGTGTCTCCTTCTGGTGCTTCTTCACACAGCAGGTACTTAAACCACGTCAATACATGGGGAAGGTACCTAGACTTTATGAATTTAAGCACAGTACTAGATTAGCAAAAAGGTTTCATTCATTTACATTTGAATTGGTAAATGTAACTGTAAATTCTCTGCTAACAGTTTTTTTTTTTTTTTTTCATAAACTTCTTGCTTGTGGAACTCTCTTTCAGCTCCATGCTTTCCGGCCAAGTTTGATCTTCAAAAATTTAAATGCAATGTCAATCATTATCTCTGGTCTTCCAGATTACTCTTCTATTGTTCTCACTCAATTTTCACTTGTGAAACTCTCTTCCAGCTTCTTGCTTTCCAGTCAACTTTGATCTTCAAAAATTTAAATGCAATGTCATTTATGATTTACTATCTTTCAGATTACTCTTCTATTGTTCTCACTCCTTGAAAGTGTTTTCTGTTTTCTAATTCTTTAGCACCTATTAACCTCTTGTATCTTAGTGGCTTTACTGCCTTGGTTGGGTTAAATTTGATTAAAAAAAGAATCTAAATAAGTTAAAATAAACTGTTTATTTAGATATACTTATAACTGTAACAGCACAAGTGAAAAATATGAATCTCTTATTAATAAAGAAAGAAAAATATTCCAATATTTCTGTTATGGTCAGTTCTATGTAGCCATGTCTAGGAAATTTAAGCAAACTTAGCATAATGACAAAAGGAACTTTAAAAAATAGATGTCTTGCTGTAAATCTTTATATAGACATTTTAATGAGATAAGAAAACTTTTCTCTGTCTCCCCCTACAGAACCTGTCTCTGTCCTGTCACCTGTGTTTACCTGTGAACTATGATGTGTTAACCCTATTTCCATTAGCCTCTCCCATTGCTCAGCAAACCATCCTTTCGTTTTGTCCCCTTGTAAGAACACCCAACTCCTAGTTTTAGGTCAATTGCATGTACCTACTTTGTTTTCCCTGCCACCTGGTCCCATATCACAAAGGTGACCCGATATGTCCGTTCTACAATTCTATAATAGAATCTCCGTTTATAGTCTAGCTTTGTTTGACTTGTGACCTGTAGAAAACTGGGCTCCCTACTCTTAGCCTTTCCTCCTGCCTTTCCTTATTAACTCGCTGATTTCTCTTTGTTTGAGACCTGCTTATCCTGCTCTTAGCTTGCACAAATATCTTATGTTACTGCTCAATCAATATCTAGCGAAATCATTCAGATATTTTCGATAGTGTTCGAACAGTCTCATCAAAAGTTATTTCTCCCAGCTTCTTCAGCAAAATATAGTTTACATACTATTCATGTTCCATAGGGGATAATTTCCTCAACAATAATCTAACTTTTTTCTCATCACTCCAATGCGCACAATCCCTTTTAAAGACTCCTTCATATCTTCTACAGTATGGATGGGAAAATTAGTCTTTCATCTGGATTGGACAGAAACTCAGTGATTGAATTAATGACAGCATCAAGAATAAATGAATCTGAAGTTTTTTCTTCCATCATTTTAGTGAACAACTTGAAAAACTTTTGTTACTGTAATTGCAACTGCTGTTCATGGTGCTGTTTCTGTTGCTGTAATTGCAGTTCCTGCTGTAGTTTCTGTTGTTGCAGTATTTGAAATGTAAGGTCCTTTAATTCTTCCATTTTTCTGATGAACTTTTTGTAGATTAATTTTTTCCATCCATGTAAGTTCAAAGAATTCTTGCAAATGTTCATCCCTGCTTTTGTGATTCCCTGTGATCCTTGTCACCATTTTTGTGATGTTAAACGGCTTTGCTTGTCACTTTTGCTATGTTAAGTGAAAGCTTGTTATCACTTCCAAAAATGGTCATTATATTCAAGACTTTGTAGACGCCGGTACTAGTGGTAACGCCTTCCAATAATATCCGAACTAGTAATACTTGTTCAAATAGTAATTGCCAAATAGTATAACGATCAGAAGAGAATCGTAATCTGTATAGTAGTATTAGAGAGAGTGAGTGAACGTATAGCATTAGTGGATAGACAAGAAGAATGAACAGTGATCATTATGCTACTTCATATTTATTCACTTCCTATATGATAACGTGATCTACATAATCACCCGTGTTACTCACTGGCAATCTAGTTTCAAACCACAGTGTTGGCAATGACACTTACTCATATACAACATTCTGTAGGCAAACATCATTTGGGATTATACTTGTGTGTATAGGTAAACATCAGCCAGGTTTATACCTTCATCTGTAGGTAAACATCAGTCAGATCTATACCAGTGTCTGTAGGTAAACGTCAGTCTGGTCTATACCAGCACCTGTAGATAAACGTCATTCTGGTCTATACCAGCACCTGTAGATAAACGTCATTCTGGTCTATACCAGCACCTGTAGATAGACGTCAGTCTGGTCTATACCAGCACCTGTAGATAAACGTCAGTCTGGTCTATACCAGCACCTGTAGATAAACGTCAGTCTGGTCTATACCAGCACCTGTAGATAAACGTCAGTCTGGTCTATACCAGCACCTGTAGGTAAACGTCAGTCTGGTCTATACCAGCACCTGTAGATAAACGTCAGTCTGGTCTATACCAGCACCTGTAGATAAACGTCAGTCTGGTCTATACCAGCACCTGTAGGTAAACGTCAGTCTGGTCTATACCAGCACCTGTAGGTAAACGTCAGTCTGGTCTATACCAGCACCTGTAGATAAAACGATCTGGTCTATACCAGCACCTGTAGATCGTCAGTCTGGTCTATACCAGCACCTGTAGATAAACGTCAGTCTGGTCTATACCAGCACCTGTAAACGATCTGGTCTATACCAGCACCTGTAGATAAACGTCAGTCTGGTCTATACCAGCACCTGTAGGTAAACGTCAGTCTGGTCTATACCAGCACCTGTAGGTAAACATCAGTCTGGTCTATACCAGCACCTGTAGATAAATGTCAGTCTGGTCTATACCAGCGCCTGTAGATAAATGTCAGTCTGGTCTATACCAGCACCTGTAGGTAAACGTCAGTCTGGTCTATACCAGCACCTGTAGATAGACGTCAGTCTGGTCTATACCAGCACCTGTAGGTAAACGTCAGTCTGGTCTATACCAGCACCTGTAGATAAGCATCAGTCTGGTTTATACTTGAGTCTGTAGGTAAACATCAGTCAGGTTTATACTCAAATCTGTCAGTAAAAGTAAATTGTAATAATATATAGTTTCTTCTAGGTTTGCACATGTAAGATCCTGACACATTTATAATGATATTCTCGGCAAGGTCATGAGATAATTTT